GAAGGTAAACAATAAATTAATAAAATATATAAAAACAATAAAAAAAATTATCACGACGTTTCGACCATAACGGTCATCATCACACCTGATGATGACCGTTTGTGTTATGGTCGAAACGTCGTGAGAATTTTTTATTGTTTTTATATATATTTTATTATTTTATTTTTACCTTCAACGTGACTTTACCGAAAGAGCTAAGGATATGAATTACTGCAGTCACGAAAGCTTTAAATCAAAATTTTATATTGATGTAGTTTATATTTTAGTTTTTTTATCAGTTACCTATACAGTGAGGGAAAAAAAGTATTTGATCCCCTGCTGATTTTGTACGTTTGCCCACTGACAAATAAATGATCGGTCTATAATTTTAATGGTAGGTTTATTTGAAGAGTGAGAGACAGAATAACAACAACAAAATCCATAAAAACGCATGTCAAAAATGTTATAAATTGATTTGCATCTTAATGAGGGAAATAAGTATTTAACCCCCTCTCAATCAGAAATATTTCTGGCTCCCAGGTGTCTTTTATACAGGTAAAGAGCTGAGATTAGGAGCACACTCTTAAAGGGAGTGCTCCTAATCTCAGCTTTTTACCTGTATAAAAGACACCTGTCCACAGAAGCCATCAATCAATCAGATTCCAAACTCTCCACCATGGCCAAGACCAAAGAGCTCTCCAAGGATGTCAGGGACAATATTGTAGACCTACACAAGGCTGCAATGGGCTACAAGACCATTGCCAAGCAGCTTGGTGAGAAGGTGACAACAGTGGAAGAAACACAAAAGAACTGTCAATCTCCCTCGGCCTGGGGCTCCATGCAAGATCTCACCTCGTGGAGTTGCAATGATCATGAGAACTGTGAGGAATCAGCCCAGAACTACACGGGAAGATCTTGTCAATGATCTCAAGGCAGCTGGGACCATAGTCACCAAGAAAACAATTGGTAACACACTACGCCATGAAGGACTGAAATCCTGCAGCGCTTGCAAGGTCCCCCTGCTCAAGAAAGCACAGATACATGCCCGTCTGAAGTTTGCCAATGACCATCTGAATGATTCAGAGGACAACTGGGTGAAAGTGTTGTGGTCAGATGAGACCAAAATGGAGCTTTTTGGCATCAACTCAACTCGCCGTGTTTGGAGGAGGAGGAATGCTGCCTATGACCTCAAGAACACCATCCCCACCGTCAAACATGGAGATGGAAACATTATGTTTGGGGGTGTTTTTCTGCTAAGGGGACAGGACAACTTCACCGCATCAAAGGAACGATGGACGGGGCCATGTACCGTCAAATCTTGGGTGAAAACCTCCTTCCCTCAGCCAGGGCATTGAAAATGGGTCGTGGATGGGTATTCCAGCATGACAATGACCCAAAACACACGGCCAAGGCAACACAGGAGTGGCTCAAGAAGCACATTAAGGTTCTGGAGTGGCCTAGCCAATCTCCAGACCTTAATTCCATAGAAAATCTTTAGAAGGAGCTGAAGGTTGGAGTTGCCAAACGTCAGCCTCGAAACCTTAATGACTTGGAGAAGATCTGCAAAGAGGAGTGGGACAAAATCCCTCCTGAGATGTGTGCAAACCTGGTGGCCAACTACAAGAAACGTCTGACATCTGTGATTGCCAACAAGGGCTTTGCCACCAAGTACTAAGTCATGTTTTGCAGAGGGGTCAAATACTTATTTCCCTCATTAAAATGCAAATCAATTTATAACATTTTTGACATGCGTTTTTCTGGATTTTGTTATTGTTATTCTGTCTCTCACTGTTCAAATAAACCTACCATTAAAATTATAGACTGATCATTTCTTTGTCAGTGGGCAAACGTACAAAATCAGCAGGGGATCAAATACTTTTTTCCCTCACTGTATAGTATTCATTATATAGTGTAGTGTATACCCAGTTACTTTATGCTAATAGCTCTTATTGGATAATATATTGAGTACATTGATTATATTGATATAGTTTATATTTAGTTCTTTCACATCGGTTTATTGTATGATAGTTGCAGTTATTTAGCGTTAATATACTAAATACCTCTGTTGATATGTAAACTCTGACTTTAACGTAGCTACTTCCGTGACCAGTTACATGCTAATCCCTCACACTAACATCATGCTAATCTCCAAGTTACATGCTAATTTATGACTTTAACATCCTGCTAATCTATCATATTAACACAGCTACTTCAATGCCAAATGATTCTGTTGATATGTAAACTCCTTTGTCAAGGCTCTCTGCTCCTCCCACCCAGCTTAAAATACACTGCCAAGCTTAGCGGTGTTCATTAGGACGCCGTCTTCCCGACAGTTCTGTTTCTTCACCTGAGGGAGGCTACTTGTGTTGTGGCCGAAACGTCGTGAGAATTTTATTTAATGTTTTATTTTTATTATTTTATCATTTCCGTTCTACGTGGCGGTGACTTTACCGAAAGAACCAAAGAGGATGAATCCCTGCAGTCACGAAAGCTTTAAATCAAAAAAGTTTGCAGACCCCTTTAATTTCATGTCCTCTAACTTATTTCACGTACGTGTATAAAGATATTTAGGCTCGCTGGTCTCGTTATGAAACTGCAATGAACAAGCACTAGGGGAGGCAGCTATCACATCTGCCTCACTGGGGGGGGGGGGGGGGCGCGTTAGACACGCCCCCACCCCTCAATGAAGCCACGCCCCCCTCAGTGTGTAAATCTGGCTCCGATGCCAGCCAATGCCTCCCCAGCCATTGACCTCACCCTACGTCACTGGGTATCCCATCGCAGCGGCACCAACATCGACCCTACCCACAACACCCGGCCACCCAGCTCGGTGAGGGCTTCCCCGGCTGAGCCGGTGCAAATGTCGGGCCACTCGCCACTGGTCAGGTGCTGAGCTCAGCAACTCCCGCGGATGTCTCAGGGGCAGCTCCTTCCGCCGCTGCCGCTCCTGCTGCTGCGCTACCGCGTGGAGTCACCGCGTCACTGCGGCCCCTCCCTCTTCCAGACTCCCTCCCTCCCTCCCTCCCCCATCGCTCGATGTTTCCATGGCGACCGAATGAGGGGTCCAACATGACGAGAACGATTACATTTACCCATCCACACCACCATCGCGCCCCCACCAGCCCACCACTACCACCACTATCCCCCCACCACCACTAGCCCCACCACCACTCACCACCACCACTCCCACCACCGCCAGCCACCACCGCCACCCCACACCACCACTGCCCCCACTACTACCCCCATCCCCACCACCATCAATACTCACCACCGCCACCACCACTCCCACCACTCACCACCGCCACCCCAACCACCACTACCCACCCCCACACCACCACCACCCCAACCCACCACCGCCACCCCCCACCACCAGCCCCACCACCCACAACCACCTTCCTAACTCTCCCTCCCTCTCACTACCCCCCCTCCCGCTACTCCGTATCCGCTCCTCCTCCTCCTCTCTTCCGGGCCACACTTTCCTCTTCACACCCCCCCCCCCCCCCCCGTGTGCTCCTCGTTCGCCCTCCTCCTTCCCCTTCTGTCTCCCCCTCCTGCTCGTCCTTTTCTTAAAGGTATCCTCCTCCTCCTCCTCCCTGTCTCTCCATCCTCCTCCTCCCTCTCCTCCTCGTGTCTCTCCTCCTCCCCGTCTCTCCATCCTCCTCCTCCTCGTGTCTCCCTCCTTCCTGTCTCGCCATCCTCCCCTGATCCTCCTCCTCTCTGGATGTCTCTCCTCCTCCTCCTCCCCGTCTCTCCATCCTCCTCCTCCCTCTCCTCCTCGTGTCTCTCCTCCTCCCCCCGTCCCCTTCTCTCCTCCTCCTGCACCCCCTTTGTCTCCCCCGTTCCTCCTCCCCTCTCCGTCTCCCACCGCTCCCTCCCCCTCTCTCGTTCCCGTTTCGAGGGACGAAATGAATTTTTGACATTCTGCCCAATCAAGGCTCCTCGAGTGGGACCCCGCTCAGAGACGCGTGTCTGTGAGGTCGTGTGATGACGGATGGGGGAGGGGGGCACGGCGAGGTGGGAGGGGCGAGAGGGAACACGTGTCCGTGTGTGTCCGTGTGTGTCCGTGCGTGTCTGCGTGGGGAGCGGTGGCGCAGTGGTTAGCGCACTGCGCTGCGAACACGGCGACCCCGAGTTCGTTTCCCGTCGACAGCCAAAATCGGTGGGCAATTTTTTGAAACCGTTCCCGGGTCACCCGTAGGTCGATTCAGCCTTAAATGAGCACCTGGCACGGTGTGTAAACATCATCTTTGGAGAGACAAAGGCGGCCGGGCTTGGAACTGGCCACTGACTCCCCCTCGCCCCCGTGTGTTGTATCGGCCTTCATAGGTGCTAACCCGTTAACAACACTTGACCCAAAAAGTGTGTTCAGGCTATACGGGGGATCTTTGTCTTTCCTTGGTTAGCGTGCTGCGCTACGATCCCGGCGACCCGAGTTCGACTCCAGCTCACGATTCTCCGAACCGGTCCTGGGACTCCACCAGGCTGACTCAGCCTCAAATGAGTGCCTAGTGCGATGTGTAAACATCGCCATTGGGGAGACAAAGGCGGCCGGGCGTGGTGCTGGCCACCCATCCCCTCTGGTGCCGTACCGGCCTTCATAGGTTCTACTCGCTGAGAAGCACTTGCTCCAAAAGGTTCGTTCATGCAGGCTACACGGGGGATCTTTGTCATTGAGTGGCATTCATTCGCCTCTGTTGCTCACGGTCTAAAATTATCCTCCTGCTCGCCTCGATGCGTTGCTGTTGTTCTTGTTCGCTGTTCCCTGCCGCTAGGCAGTGGAAGCTCGTAGCGTCTCGAGCTAGTTGTGCCTTGCCTTATCTCTTCCGTCATTCGTGTCGTGCGCGGTGTATTTAGCGCCACGGCGCGTGGATTTGTAGCTTCTGTTAACTTGTGTTTGCTGGTGACTTTGTGCGTTTCGTATCGGAATCGCCTGCAGTGCCGTTGCTGCTGGCGGCAAATGAAAGCTGTTTAAAAAGTCAAAAAGTCTCTTCCACCATTGAGCTCCCCCGCGCGTAATGCAGAGGAGCACCGAGCGGAGCCCGTGCCGTGAGAATTGCAGCCAGAGCGGCACCGCCCAGGCAGCCCCACGGCACCTGCCGGGGGTCATCTTCCCGTGACCTCCTGCCGGTAGGCGAGCCTTCGACGCTTCACGTGGCCTCGAGGTGCGAGCCCGCATTAGCGCAGGCGCCGAGTTGGGAGCTGAGCGTGTTGGCATTGAGACTTGCTTCGAAGATTTCGTGGCGGCAGGAATTACTCGTTGGTTTTTTTCGGTGAAGTCACGTATAAATAAGAAACAATAAAATAGCATAATAGCGTACGACGTTTCGGTTGCAACACAAGCAGCCATCATCAGGTACAGAAGAGCTAAATTTACGAGAGAGAGGAAACACATAACCCCAGATGTATATACAGACACCCAAGTAGGGGGGAACTAACACAGATACAACAGGGGACACAGAGAGAGAATCACACCAAACAAACAGGGTTTAGCAAAATTTGGAAACCATATAAAGCAACACAGACGGTCGGTCAAAACGCAATTAACGCATAGCCTGGTTGATTACGCTATTTCAAAGATTGCTAAATTGCAAGTTGAGCATGAAATTTAAAATACAGACCGCGCAAACACACACACACATAGACATCCAAGTAGAGCGAACCAGCACAGAGACAAGCACACAGTGAAGTCGCCTTAAATAGCCAGAGAAGGTAAGGCTGAGAGACAATAGGTATTGTTGTGGAGGTGCTGTGGAATCTACATCATGGGAGACCCCCCCGCCCCTTGCCGGCAATAAAACAGATGTAACAAAAGCCAACCACGAAGAAGCCTTTAGAGCTTAGTCTCAAGCAGTCGAACACTCACATCATTAGACCTCCTTTTGCCAGCACCAAAATGTAATAATAATAGGGTTTTTCCCCTTTTTTTCTGGCAACAAAACTGAAACCTTTTTTTTTAACAAGGATTCACGTTACTGCATTAACCACAGTACCTGCAGTCAAAATGCAAACAAAAAAACATACTATGATAATATTTGACGCATTGTCCTTGAAACTGATTTGGTCCACGCCAAGGGACGGCTTTCTTTTGAGCCTCGACCCAATTGCTGCTCGACCAGATGACGCCAAAAGGCGTCACACAGCTCAAAGACAATGCACTGTCAAAGTAATGAGGGCTCGGGGTGAGCATCTTCATCATTAGACCTCCTTTGCCAGTACCAAAATGTAATAATAACAGGGTTTTTCACCTTTTTCTGGCAACAAAACTGAAACCTTTGTTTACAAGGATTCACGTTACTGCATTAACCGCAATACCTGCAGTCAGGTGACGTTTTTTTGAAGCACCCTGTATATTGGTTTCCTATTTCAGGCCAAACAAAAGGCAACGATCCCCCGTATAGCCGTAACAGACTGTAGGGGGCAAGTGCCGTTAGCGAGCACGCACGAAAGCCGGCACGGCACACGAGGGGGTGGGTGGCCAGCTCCACACGCAATGCACGCAACTATTGTTGTTGTTGACACGGGCCGTGCTGAGTGGTTGTTGTTGTTGTTGATTGTGCACCACCGCTGGTGCCAACGCAGCAGCAGCAGCGCCGCCAATCGTTGCGGTCCAGCGAGGATGCGTGAACTATTCCGAGCGCTCGCTCGACCCACGCGGATTCTGACACGGCAGAGCGATACAGCTGGGACGAGGAACTCGCGGAAGAGACGATACGCCTCCAACAACAACAACAACGAGGACGACAACAACGACAGCTACAACAACGCCAACAACAACGCCCTACTGCTTCCATCCTCCCACGCCTCTAGCTCTGTCGCTCTGTCGCTCTCTCTCTCTCTCTCGGGGGTTCCTGTCCGTGTGTTGCTGCTGTTGTCGTTATTGTTATTTACTCAGTCGGCTGAGGACGTGGGCCCCAAAGGCACGAAACTTGGCACGGTAGGGAGGTGCACGTGTGGTGATAGGTGGCAGCCATCTCATACAGCCAACCCATAGCACCTGGGTCTCACCCGTGACCTCCTGCACCTAGCCTGGCACACCAGCCAACCCATAGCACCTGGGTCTCACCCGTGACCTCCTGCACCTAGCCTGGCACACCAGCCAACCCATAGCACCTGGGTCTGTCCCGTGACCTCCTGCACCTAGCCTGGCACACCAGTCAACCCATAGCACCTGGGTCTCACCCGTGACCTCCTGCACCTAGCCTGGCACACCAGCCAACCCATAGCACCTGGATCCATCCCGTGACCTCCTGCACCTAGCCTGGCACACCAGCCAACCCTTAGCACCTGGGTGTGTCCCGTGACCTCCTGCACCTAGCCTGGTACACCAGGCAACCCATAGCACCTGGGTCTCACCCGTGACCTCCTGCACCTAGCCTGGCACACCAGCCAACCCTTAGCACCTGGGTCTGTCCCGTGACCTCCTGCACCTAGCCTGGCACACCAGCAAACCCTTAGCACCTGGGTCTCTCCCGTGACCTCCTGCACCTAGCCTGGCACACCAGCCAACCCATAGCACCGGGGTCCGTCCCGTGACCTCCTGCACGTAGCCTGGCATACCAGTCAACCCATAGCACCTGGGTCTGTCCGTGACCTCCTGCATCTAGCCTGGCACACCTGTCAACCCATAGCACCTGGGTCTGTCCGTGACCTCCTGCACCTAGCCTGGCACACCAGTCAACCCTTAGCACCTAGGTCTGTCCGTGACCTCCTGCACCTAGCCTGGCACACCAGCCAACCCTTAACACCTGGGTCTGTCCGTGACCTCCTGCACCTAGCCTGGCACACCAGTCAACCCATAGCACCTGGGTCTGTCCGTGACCTCCTGCACATAGCCTGGCACACCAGCCAACCCTTAACACCTGGGTCTGTCCGTGACCTCCTGCACCTAGCCTGGCACACCAGTCAACCCATAGCACCTGGGTCTCTCCCGTGACCTCCTGCACCTAGCCTGGCACATCAGCCAACCCTTAGCACCTGGATCTGTCCCGTAACCTCCTGCACCTAGCCTGGCACACCAGCCAACCCTTAGCACCTGGGTCTGTCCGTGACCTCCTGCACCTAGCCTGGCACACCAGTCAACCCTTAGCACCTGGGTCTGTCCGTGACCTCCTGCACCTAGCCTGGCACACCAGCCAACCCTTAGCACCTGGGTCTGTCCGTGACCTCCTGCACCTAGCCTGGCACACCAGCCAACCCATAGCACCTGGGTCCGTCCTGTGACGTCCTGCACCTATCCTGGCACACCAGCCAACCCATAGCACCTGGGTCTCACCCGTGACGTCCTGCACCTAGCCTGGCACACCAGCCAACCCTTAGCAGCTGGGTCCGTCCCGTGACCTCCTGCACCTAGCCTGGCACACCAGTCAACCCTTAACACCTGGGTCTGTCCGTGACCTCCTGCACCTAGCCTGGCACACCAGCCAACCCTTAGCAGCTGGGTCCGTCCCGTGACCTCCTGCACCTAGCCTGGCACACCAGTCAACCCATAGCACCTGGGTCTCTCCCGTGACCTCCTGCACCTAGCCTGGCACACCAGTCAACCCTTAACACCTGGGTCTGTCCCGTGACCTCCTGCACCTAGCCTGGCACACCAGCCAACCCATAGCACCTGGGTCCGTCCCGTGACCTCCTGCACCTAGCCTGGCACAAACCGCACACTATCAGCTCCTCGTTCACGTAGACAGAGAGGACGACTCAGAGGCGCCAGGAAGAGGAATCACGTGCGAGGAGTGGGATGGCTGCAGTAGCCACACGGGTTGTGTGTGCGCTGAACTTATATCGCAACGTGCATAGCCAATCGAGCTAATCGGAGGTGCGGGTGGGGGGGGGAAGGACAACACACTAAACACAACAACAACAACTACAACAAGCACTTCTAAAGACATTCGTTTGTCAATCTAGATGATTTAAAAGCGCGCAGCTCCAGTAACTTCCAAAGGCAAGAGCGTTCCAGACGGCCGCAGAAGCGCGTCGCGCGACAATGCGGTGACCACCGCCTCTCCAGACAGTCTCGTCCCTTCACCTGATGAAGGCCGCTTGTGTTGTGGCCGAAACGTCGTGATTTTTTGTTATTTTATTTTCACCTACGTGACTTTACCCAATAGAACCAAAGAGTATGCCACCGCCTTTGTCCGATGGCCCAGCCAGAAGCTGCTGCTGCTGCTGCTGTTGCGAGGATGAGTGGAGTTCGCTTGATGGTTTACGCCGCTTGACGAGAGGAGCCGACGCTACCAAAAATTCCCCAAACTCTGCGGTCCTCCGTGGCGTCATCTGGTCGAGCACCAATTGGGTCGAGGCTCAAAAGAAAGCCGTCCCTTGGCGTGGACCAATCGGTGTCAAGGACAATGCATCATATATTATTGTATGTTTTTTTGTTTGCATTTTGACTGCGGGTATTGTGGTTAATGCAGTAACATGAATCCTTGTTAAAAGATTTCAGTTTTGTTTCCAGAAAAAAAGGTGAAAAACCCTGTTATTATTATATTTTGGTACTGGCAAAGGAGGTCTAATGATGTAGATGCTCACCCCGAGCCCTCATTACTTTGATAGCGGTATTGTCTTTGAGCTGTGTGACGCCTTTTGGCGTCCTCTGGTCGAGCACCAATTGGGTCGAGGCTGAAAAGAAAGCCGTCCCTTGGCGTGGACCAATCAGTTTCAAGGACAATGCCACACATATTATCATAGTATGTTTTTTGTTTGCATTTTGACTGCAGGTATTGTGGTTAATGCAGTAACATGAATCCTTGTTAAAAAGGTTTCAGCTTTGTTGCCATAAAAAAGGGGGAAAATCCCTGTTATTATATTAGGATGTTTTTGGCGAATGAATTGGGCGTATACAGGCGGGAGGAAAACCGGACCACCCGGAGTGAAAACGCTCTGTCTCGTACGGATGGGACGAATGCAATTTAGTCCACACTTTGCTGTGACCACCTTTTCCCGGCGAGCTCGGGGTACGGCTCCTCTTGGACACCCGCAGGAAGTGAGATGGAACAGATTGAGATTAGTGCACACTTATTGTTGTACTGCCTTGGGGAGTTTCGCACCATCTGTGCATGATCCACCAACCCCTGGCTGTTGCGTCCACCGTGCTGGATCGCGGGCAGCCATGCGCACCATA